GACACAACATCTTTGTTGGTATGTGGTGCTGAGGATCGAACCCGGGCTGCACGCATGCCAGGCGAGCGCGCTACCGCTTGAGCCACATCCTCAGCCCCTTTTTTTTTTTTTTTTTTCTTGGTAGTAGGAATTAAACCCAGGGGTGCTTATACATTGAGCCACAGCCCCCCTCCCCTTCTTTAAAATATTTTTTAATTTGTTGATGGATCTTTAATTTATTTATATGCTGTGCTAAGAATTGAACCCAGTGCCTCGAACATGCTAGGCAAGCACTCTACCACTGAGCCACAACCCCAGCCCCCCTTCCCTTTTTAAAAAACTTAACCTTTATTTTATTTTTATATATGATTTGTTTTATTTATGATTTGTTTTCATATGATCCTATGTGGTACTGAGGATCGAACCCAGTGCCTCACTCTCCCAGTGCCTCACTGTTGATAAGCAAGTACTGTACTACTGAGCTACAATCCCAGCCCCCCAGCACCTTTTATTTTTTATAGGCAGGGTCTTGCAAGGGCCTCACTATGTTGCTGAGGTTGGCTTTGAACTTGCAGTCCTCACCTGGTTCTTTCTTTCTTTTTTTTTTTAATAATTGTTTATTTCTGAATCATTACCAATAGCCTCCTTTATTTCTTTGGGAACATCTTTTTGGCTTGTATTCTAATAACTTTTGTCATTTAGAATAGGTTATTCAGTTTATTGCCTTTCTAGTCATATAGTTATTCTTACCTATAAGGTCATTTTCTCTCGTGGGTATCTGCTATCTTGGAGGATAATGGATTCAGAAAGAGGTGGGGGTAATTAAAGCTTTGGCCTTAGCTTATGTTACTCCTGGTGAGTTGGGGATCCAGTTTTGAATAGCTTCATTTGTATTGTTCTTATAGAGGGCTTTGCCCTTAAGGAACCTCTCTATACCATACTCTGGATTTTGTTCCTTTCTGAGAATATATTTTTCATAGCTCTCTGGGTGAAAAGAAGGCTAAGAACGGGTAGGTAAATGTATCTTCTCCAACTTATATGTGTCTCAGTAGAGCCAGCATTTATTGGTTTTGTTTTGGTTTTGTTTTTTCAATCCTGCATCCCAGTAATGTTCCCTATGAACCACTTGGCACCCCTGCACTTTGGATTTTAATAGGGCTGATGGGGAATGCAGTGATCAACTCAGGGTACTATAGTGGATAGAAAAAAAAAAAAAACCCAACCGAAAATTTCTCCTCAAATCTACACCCAGTTGGAAACCTGGCCTCTATTTGTACGGTGTAACTATTTCCCTTGCCAGATCCCCAGATTCTTTGGGGATTTATACTGGGTTTTATTTTCCTTCTTTATTCCCATTTCTTACTTCTGAGATATCTTTGGATTTGGATTGGAGGAGGTTAACTGTGCCTTTCATCAGGTCAGGGGCCCACAATGATGTCTCTTTTATGACTCAGCCTTCCCCATGGTTTGATGAAGCTTTGTTTTCAGTACTTTAGAAAAGAAGATGTCCTTCCTTGAGGGGTCATAACAATAGTGTGTAAATGAAGAACTACAAGCAGCATATAAGATTGGGAATGAAACCACCTTTTGACCCAGCTATCCTACTCCTCAGTCTATACCCAAAAGACTTAAAAACAGCATACTTCAGGGACACAGCCACATCAATGTTTAAAGCAGCACAATTCACAATAGCTAAACTGTGGAACCAACCTAGATTCCCCTCAGTAGATGAATGGATAAAGAAAATGTGATATATATATACACAATGGAATATTACTTAGCAATAAAAGAGAATAAAATTGTGGCATTTTCAGGTAAATGGGTGGAGTTGGAGAATATAATGCTAAGTGAAGTTAGACAATTCCAAAAAACCAAATGCTGAATGTTTTCTCTGATATAAGGAGGCTGATTCATAGTAAGGTTGGAAGGGGGAACATGGGAGGATTAGACAACTATATAGGGCAAAGGGGAAGAAGGGGAAGGGAGGAGGTAAGGGGGTAAAAAAGATGGTGGAATGACATGGACATCATTACAAAAAAAGTACATGTATGAAGACACGAATATACTTTCTATACAACCAGAGATACTAAAAATTGTGCTCTATATGTGTAATATGAATTGTAATATGTTTTGCTGTCATATATGTCAAATTAGTATAAAAATTAAAAAACACAAAGAATAGCTGTTTACTCCTGTAAACATAGCTACTTGAGAGGCTAAGGTAGGAGGATTGAGAGTTCCAGGTCAATCTCAGCAACTAAGTGAATCCCTGCCTCAAAATAAAAGATAGAAAAAGCTGAGGATGTAGCACAATGATAAAGCAACCCAGGTTCAAACAAACAAACATACCACAAAACGCAGCATATATATTCATGAAAGGAGAATAAAATAGGCATTTTACTGACACATATTGAAATGTACTTTCTATAGGCTTGTATTTCATTTTACACGTGTTTGGGAATCTTCTTAGACCTAGAAATAAGAAAAGAAAATGAATTATATTACAAACTGCTCTTAAACACATTTGTGGGAATAGAAGTGAGTTGTAGGGAAAATAAGTGCTTCCTGAACTCGAAAGATAAACTTATAAAATTAACATGGAATACATAGTTGTTCAAGTCACATTCAGAAGGCAAAATTTCTCCCAGGACCCAAGTTGGGAAAAACAGGGCTTGGCAATAACTTATTACTTATTACACAGTATTCTTATACCTAAAATTATAAATACCTTAAATATTGACCATGGTTATTATTTCTAAGGATGTACTTCCAAATTTTCTTAGGTGAACATTCATTCATTTTGTAATTGGGAAAAAAAAGTATTACTTTAACAGAATTATCTTAGGGAAACAATCATATAAATATACAAACTTGTGTAAGGCTATTTGGTGAGCCAGGCATAGTGGTACACACCTGTAATCCCAGTGATTAGGGAGGCTGAGGCAGGAGGATGGAAAATTCAAAGTCAGCCTTAGCAACATGGTCCCTAAGCAAGACCTTGCTCAAAATAAAAAATAAAAATGGCTGGGGATGTGACTCAGTGGTTAAGCACCCCTGGGTTCAATCCCCATTACCAGAAAAAATAATTTTTGGTGAAACATTGCTTGTCATGTTGAAAATATCCTGATTTTTCTCAAAAGGAGAACAATTTAATGAATTATGACATACTCATACAACCAATAAAATGATGATGTAGGTCTGCATTTATTAACAGAAAAAATTCAAAAATGTGCTGTTAAATTAAACAAAAGCAGGTTTTAAAATGTATCCCTAATATGAACTTGTTTGCAACAGAAAAATAAGACAGTATATAAATATTTATAGGAAGAAAAGTCAGAGCGTGTGTGTGTGTGGGGGGGGGGTGCATGTGTATGCATGAAGTTTCCACTCCATCCTAACAACAAATAAGTAACTGAAAAAAATCAACAACTCTTTTTAGATTTGATAGAAAAGTGGATACAGAGAATTAAATGATGATTGCTAGAGACAACTCTAAGAGATTAAAAACTCTAGGGGGGTGTCAGTAGTAAGGAGTCCCCCCACACTTTCATGAGTTTTATTTCTCGGCAGACACAACATCTTTTGTTGGTATGTGGTGCTGAGGATCSAACCCGGGCCGCACGCATGCCAGGCGAGCGCGCTACCGCTTGAGCCACATCCCCAGCCCTTTCATGAGTTTTAGTCCAGAGGCTGTAACAAGTCCTCATAAAGAAAATGGGAGAGAATTCCTTGTGATCTGGTAAGGGGAGGGAAAAATAACCATTCTTAAATATGCCAGATCACTCTGTTCTTAACAAGTTATACCCTCAAGGCTATTTTAAAAAATATATTTTTAGTGATAGATGGAAATAATTCCTTTATTTTGTTTATTTATTTTTATATGGTGCTGAGGATCCAACCCAGTGCCTCCCATGTGTAGGGAAGCACTCTATCACTGAGCTACAACTCCAGCCCAAGACAACTATTTTAATAGAGTCTAACCTGCTAGGTTTTTACCAGAGACTAACCTACCTGGAGAAATACCAAATTACATTTTCCTCTAATTACCCTGTCCCACCTAAAGGGAGAAAAAAAGACTTAAGGAGCACTGTCAAAGTTCGAAGTTCAGAGGTACAGACTCACCAAAAAACTAAGGACCTAATCATGGGACTATAGAACTCTTCTCTTACCACCACAATACTAAAGGCCTATTTACTGGTATTTCCTTTAACTAGCACATCATGTCTAGATTTCAACAAAAAATTACAAGATATACAAAAAGGCAAAAAAAAAAAAAACCACTAAAGAATGTGTATGCACAAATATATAAAAATGAATCCCATCATATGTATAATCACAATGACCAATAAAAACATGGGGAAAAAAAAACACTAGAGAGACCGAACCTGCATCAGAACTAGTCAGACATGGCAGGGATTTAAAACAACTATGATGTTCTAAGGGCACTAGTAGAAAAAAGTCAACAATATGCAAAGTCAGATGGATAATATGAGCAGAGAGATGGAAATTCTAAGAAAAATATCTATAAAGAAGGCTAGAGGGGCGGGGCTGGGGATGTGGCTCAAGCGGTAGCGCGCTCGCCTGGCATGTGTGCGGCCTGGGTTCGATCCTCAGCACCACATACCAACAAAGATGTTGTGTCGGCCGAAAACTAAAAAATAAATATTAAAAATTCTCTCTCTCTCTCTCTCTCTCTCTCTCTCTCTCTCTCTCTCTCTCTCTCTCAAAAAAAAAAAAAATGCTAGAGGGGCTGAGGTTATGGCTCAGCGGTAGAGCGCTCGCCTCACAAATGCGAGACCCTGGGTTCGATCCTCAGCACCAATTAAAAATAAATAAGTAAAATAAACTACAATTAAAAAATAATAAAAAAGGATGCTAAAGATGAAAAATACTAACAAATGAATAATGTTTTTGATAGATAGGCTCATTAAGTAGACTGGGCATTGCTAAAAAAACCTCTGAATTTAAGAATATGACAATAGAAGCTTTAAAACTGAAAAGCAAAGGTTAAAAAAAAAAAAACTGAAGAAACCGAATTGAATATCCAAGAACTGTTGTAAGGTTATAAAACATATAACATGCATATGGGAATTCCAGAATAAGAAAGGAACAGAGCAATATTTAAAGTAATAATGATGTAAAATTGGCTTAAAGTAATGTCAGACACCAAAACACAGATTTTGCAGAGAATGCTAACTGGCATAAAAATTTTAGTTAGGCATATCATAGTCAAACTACAGAAGATCAAAAACAAAGAAAAAATTCTGATAGAATCCAGAGGTGAAAAAATTTACCTGTTGAGAGGCAAAAATAAAATTACATCTGACTTTTCTTCAGAAACCATTCAGAGTGGGCCGAGGTTGTAGCCCAGTGGTAGAGTACTTGCTAGCACATGTGAGACACTGGGTTCAATTCTCAGCACTACATTAAAAAATAAATAAATAAAATAAAGGTATCTGTCCATCTACAAATATTTTCTGTTGCCAGGAATAAATTACCAACATAGAATTCTGTATCTTGCAAACTTATCTTTCAAAAGAAAAGGAAAGGCTYGGAATGCTGGGGCAGGAGGATCGTGAGTTCAAAACAGCCTCAGCAACTTAGCAAGGACCTAAACAACTTAACGAGACCCTATCTCTAAATAAAATTTTAAAAGGGCTCAATGGTTAAGCCCCTCTGGGTTCAATCCCTGGTATTAAAAAAAAAAATCAAAGGAAAGCCAGAGTAGTTTAAGGCTGGGGATGTAGTTTAGTGGTAGAGCATGTGTTTAACTGAACCCAGGACTGGATTCAGTACTTGGCACCAATAAATAAATAAATAAATAAAAATCCAAAAGAAAGAAGTTAAATTGTCTCTTTTGACACGATATTATATTTTAAAAACAGGGAAAAAAATAAATCACTAGGGAATAGAGTTCAATAAAATTAAAAAAAAAAAAAAAAAAAACAGGAGCTGGGGTTGTGGCTCAGCGGTAGAGCACTCGAATAGCATGTGCGAGGCCCTGGGTTCGATCCTCAGCACCACATAAAAATAAATAAAATAAAGGCACTGCATCCATCTACAACTAAAAAATAAATATTTATAAAAAAAACTGATTCTACCAAATAATTTTGGATCTAAAAAACAAATTTGGAGGGCAGGGGATAGGATATCATAAATATACAGAAAAGATCAGTGGAATAGAAGAAAGATACAGAGGAAGAGAGGAGGAATGGAAAAGGAGAAAATATAGGATGAATTTAACCAAATTATGTTATGTGTATAAATAAATATACCACAGGGATTTTTAACTTTATGTGTATGTATAAAGTACCAATAAAAACAAATAAATAAGTGAAAGGAAGATCAGTAGAGTAAAGGAAGAATTGGGCGAGGGAATGGGAAGGAAAAGAGTTGGAGGTAAGGGCTGGGGTTGTGGCTTAGTGGCAGAGTGCTTGCCTTGCACATGTGTGGCACTGGGTTCGATTCTTAGCAACACAAAAAAATAAATAAACAAAATAGGGCTGGGGATGTGGCTCAAGCGGTAGCGTGCACGCCCGGCTTGCATGTGGCCCCAGGTTGGATCCTCAGCACGACATACAAAGATGTTGTGTCCGCCGAAAACAGAAAAATAAATATTAAAAAAAAAACCTCTCTCTTTCTCTCTCTCTCTCTCTCTCTCTCTCTCTAAAAGAAATAATTAAAAAAAATAAAGACATTGTGTCCATCTATAACTATTTTTTTAAAGAGTTGGGGTGGGGATTGAAATCAAATTCCATGTACGTATGATTTTATCAAAACGAACCCAATTACTAGGTGTAACTGTAATGCTTTAATAAAAACAAAACACAAATTCAATAAAGTTTCAAGATACAAAATCAACATGTAAATATCAGTAGCATTTTTACATGTATGAAAAGTGAACTATGTGCAAAGGACATTAAGAAGAAAATAGGGTTGGTATTATGGCTCAGTGGTAGAGCACTTGCCTCATATGCATGGGGTACTGGGTTTGATCCTCAGTACCACATAAATAAATAAAATAAAACCACATAAAAATAAATAAATAAAGGTATTCAACTACAACTAAAAAATAAATATTTAGAAAAAATTTTAAATTAAAAAAGGAAATAATCCCACTTACAATAGCATCAAAAATAAATAAATAATTTACATTTACAATTGCATCTAAATAAAGAATAATTTCATAATAAATTTTTACATCATGTATAACCAGTCACATGAGAAGTTATACTCCATTTATGTATGATGTGTCAAAATGCATTGTCGCCCATGGATTCAGGGTCACTCTTCGTGAATTGGGCTGGCAACGAAAAGACCACACAAACATAAAATACCTTTTTTGGTGGGTAAGTTCTGAGACCTTAGGTGTCAGCTCCCACGCTGGAGGGAAAGAGGAGCAAGGGAGGCAAGAGAGAGCGAGCATATCCCGAACCCTGGTATTTATTAGGGGGAAGACATTGAATATAATA